CACACACACGCGCACGCACGCACGCACACAAACACACACGCACACACGTGCACACACGACTTACTTACTGATGTTTCTTGGTGGGATCGTGGATAGCGTCTGCCAGCCGGTGGCAGCCGCCCACAAACGATAAACCAAAGCGTTTGCAATCCCAACCCACATAACCCACTTGACTAGAATCTGCGAGCGCATCTACTACCCTCACTCCTAATTTTCAAAGCGCGCCATCTCCGACCGAGACCCAGGCCCATCAAGGAAATCCTATGTCCGCTTGCAGAAGCACCAGGCCGGCTTTCTGTTCGTCAGAAAGATTCAGAAAGCAGGTCTCGAATTCCAGAGGCAGCTTCTCGGAGATTGCATGCCAGAGTTCCCTCCAGGGTAATCAGACTGATTGCTGATTATCATGCGTCGGTTGTGCCGATATTCGCCTTCCGGAAGTCTGTATCCCAGAACTGTATGTGGTTGGTCAGCGTTTGTTGTTGCAGCTGGCATCACACGTATCTGGACCCCGTCACATCATATACATCCGAGACGTGCGCTTTGCCTTCTCTAGAAGTTTGGACTTGTGCTGAGGCCAAACAAGCCATCGAAATCGCGCGGAGCTCAGTGGAGTTGTTGTGTGCATTGCACTTGTATTGACCCCCAGCTTGATGCTTGACGACACGTTTGACCTACGAAGGTCATCCGAGCTCAGCTGAGACCTAGACCCGAAACACCCTGCTCATCTTACTTACAAGGGGATCTTGAGCTTCGATCGCCTCGATGACCGATGCGAAGGATGTGTATGCGGGTGGGGAATCGGACGCCTTGATCAGTGAGGCAGCAGCGCAGCGAAAGCTCCAGCAGGACGACCGGCATCGCCAAGAATATCATCACTGTGTCTGGTTGCTATCTAATATTTCGTTTTACGTTGAACGAAGGTGCTCGCATTCAGCGATTTGCATAGTCACAGCACTACCACCAAGAACCCGTATGGGATTTATTTCTCCCTGGCCTGAACCGCACCCGTAGCTCCTGAAGACACAAAGCATGAGAATGTTCCGGTCCAGCCAGCAACAGCACCTTTGCCTCCCAAGCAGACGAAGCAGGTACAGGCCCTGCATTTGACAATGTACGTTCGCTGGTGTTGCCATTCGGAGCGTCGACACGACTGTGCCGCCAGCGAGTTAGTAGCATACTTAGCAGCAGTAGATAGTCGTCGTCGCCTTCCTCGTCTACGCCCTTGTCAGCGGTTTGTTAGTTGCATGCATAGGTTCATCCCCCTTTCATCCGTGCGACTACTATATAGCTTGTATTCCTGAGGTTGGGGAAGGAGTTATCATGGCTATGGTTGAGATGACTATGGCGACTTCCGTTGTAGTGGTTCTTGTTATCTTCCTTGTCCCTTCTGGCATCAGTACACAAAAGATGCATGTGACATGAGTCTAATGCTGTTCATGCTGGATGGTTGCGTTGATCATGGCACTGGCGAAGCTGACACGCCCAAGAAAGTCGAAAACCTTGAACTCATGGGTGGTAAGAAAGCAAGTTTGGGAGGAGCAGCAGCAGCGATTGGAGGACCTCCTTGCCACAGCGAGTGGCCGGACGCTCAATGCTATCCCAGACGAGGAATGGCAGGATCAGCAGGGAGAAATGTTGGTCGATCGCAGGTTATTCAATTTCATGTTCGGTGAGTGTTGAAGTATGGCTCTACACTCTGAGCATGATCACTTTGAGGCTAGCTTGGGGATTTGCGCTAGAAGGTCCATTCTTCCGCAGAGTCTCTTCCAGCAGTTCTTCTTCATAAGTCACCCGGATGCATGTCCTTGGCACAAGGAGAAGCTCTGTTTTGTCGGGCCAGTCTTGAATCTAGTTTCGTCCTCAACATCAGTTGAACTCTGGGTGCATAGTCCAGGAAGGCTAAGCCCGGGTTTCGAAAGCCGAAATCATCCCCAAGCCTTTGCAGAAGGTGAGGACGAGATCGCGGCCATCACCAAGAAGGCGAGGTTCTCCGATAGCGAATTTACTAAGTCGAGCGCTGGCTTTCAGGGCCTGGATGCGGAGGTTAGTGAGGGCATCAGCTTGATCTGGGAGAGCTGCGAGTTGCATGCGGGTCGATGGAATTGCGCACCTCATCCGGTAGGGAGAGAGAGAGAGAGACCGGGAGCGAACCCCAACCCAGAATCCCAAAGCCGTACATGCACCCTCACACCGTGCGTGCTAGCAGTGGCGATTAGACCAGTCCCACCAGCACTACAAGTACTTGTAGTACTGCGACGACTACTTCTGCTACGACTGCAACGGCGACGACGCTACTGCTGCTGCTGCTGCTGCTACTACTACTACTACTACTACTACTACTCCTACTCCTACTACTACTACTACTACTACTACTACTACTACTACTACTCGTACTCGTAGCAGTTGTCATGGTCGTCATCGACAGCGTCGGGGTAACCGCAATCCATTTTCAAAATGCCTTCTAGCAGCACGTCAGACAATCAGTTTATTTGCTACACCAGCTAGTCGAATTTTGCAAAGGTCACCGCACCCAACTAACCTGCGTTCGGCCTGGAGGTCCAAGACATATCCACACCCCGAACACCCAAACCCGCTGGGCACAGGGCTTGAGGTCTAGGGTATCATGTCATCATGTTTGGTAAATCTCTACAGGTGCTCAGGTTTACCCGACTTCCCCCAAGCAACCGCGAGGTGGCGGCCGAAACGAAAGCTGCCCTGGCGGCATCATCCTGAGATGACAAGTGAGCAGTTCTCTAAATTAGGGTCCCTTTTTAATTCCCCAATATAGTACGGCACCCTCATAACATAAAAAGGACCCTACAAGGGACCCTAATTTAGAGAATACTCAAGTGGCTTCCTTCACCCTACAAAAACTCTCGGCTTGTAGCTGCATTGTGGCTTTCAGCCCCCTCAAAGCTCCACAGGAGGTTTCTGTTGTGGTGCACGGTGAGGTTCAGGGCCGCCAGGACTTCATGGGCTCATGAGCCCGTAGGTTACTGGATCTCCATGATGTAGGCAATGCAGGCGTTTACGAGTCGCGCAATGATATTCTTCATAGATCTCAGGCAGCGATTTTCTGCACCTCGATCATAACAGCTCAAAAAGTTGCGAGAAGCCGAAGCTGTATGAAGCACCAAGGAAACGTGGACGTGCCTAGGACCTAGGAGTGCTCCCACAATGACTTCTTTGTTACGACGAGTATGCAGAAGGTCCTGTTTTCTGGTTGCAAGAGTTAGCGTAGCGGTTTAGGCCGAGTGTTTCCTTGAGTGCCAGATGTGAGACATGGGAAAAATCAAACGCTGGCACAATGCTATTATTGAGGCAAGCACCATCAACATCATGAAACAATGGTCGGCCATGCCACGAGCTGCATGATATACCAGCGGTGCCGATCATATTTCATTAGGATAGCACGACGCAGTGACTAACATAGAGGCTGTGCAACAAGACAGAGGTCGGTACACAATACGCAAGACACTGGACCTGCAATCAGTTAAATCCCGGCTGCATTGGTAACTCTGGAACCCTGGAGAATAGCACTACCCAGGCCGCAGACCTTCGAACTGAAAGCCCTTTCCTACAAGTAGGAGCACCCCCAGAAGCCCAGCAGCACACGAGGCCCAAGAAGGGCAGCTTTGCAGTTACACTCGCCGGGCGCTCGGGTTGCAATCGCAGGCATGGCAACGGCGAGCATTGCAGGGACGAGGTGAAGAGAATCATCGCTATCACAGAGAAGTGAAAACTCCCAGTATCAAGCAGGGCAAGAAAATCAGCCTTAGACAACGCTCTCAGCCCTGAGCCCAACCGCCACTGCTCGAGATTGAGTGCGGAAGACGTGTAATTACCCCATCTCCTTAACCATTGGTCCAAGAGTGAGCGCCGAAACTTTTAATTCCCTATTTCCTTTGTAGTGTACCATTCTCCGAACTCCGAAACCCTGTTGAAACTATCTAGGCCCCCAACACTACCAGGATTTACACGGCGCCTTGAGCGCCTTGCCGTCTTCGCGGGCGCACAGGGTCGAGAGGAGATCTCGAGGGTGACCAAGAGGGAAGAGCCTTCGGGATCGGCGCGCAAGGTTGAGTTTCCAGTTTCGGTTCAGGCTTTACTTGGAGGTTCATGGGTAGTTATAAACGGGGTTATAAGTAGGGTAACTATACTTATAACCCATATTAGGGGACTTATAACCCCACTTTTAACTACCCATGAACCTCCAAGTAGGAACTTTAGGCACTTTGGCGTCTTGTGTTTACACTATGGTCTCTTGAAAGATGCAAGGTTGCATGTAGGACCTCAGTCGCATCGGCTTGTCACTTTTTACACTTAAGGTGAAAAGGCCTGGGGCTTTGGGGGCTCGCATGCTGGCAAGCTGATCACGGTTTAGGTTTAGGGCTTTTCGGCTTGGAGTTGCAGGGCATAGAGTCTCGGGCGAGTGTTTCAGGGATGAGGGTAAAGTTCACGCTGCAGGCCCTAAATCCCTGAAGCCCCCACGCATCCGTTTGTTCTACGTGAAGACTCATGATCAGTGACTATGACTGCCAAGATACGTGCGCGACCAGGCAAGATGAGCATGCTCAAACACGCTGCGCTAGATTCTTGAAGGCTGCCCTTGCAACTGTCCAGGGTTGAACACCTCGTTGTAGAGATCACGCTTGCTACCGACAAGCTCATGAAAGCAAGGCACACGGCGCTCGGTAAGAACGACGTAGCACATCACCGAACATTCGCAGACTCAAACCCCAGCACTTGGAGGTGCCAACGAAAATCCAACTTGTTCCACACACGTCCACTTACTGCTGACCTTAGCAAGTCAAGACTAATCAAGCAATCATGTGACCTGCAGGACAACAGTAGCCAGGTCCAACTGGAGGGTCTTACCGCCGGGCCCTTTGCTGACCGGCCAGTGGTAAAATAGCGAGGGTTTGGGGTTAAGGAGAGTCCAGCGAAAGGGGAGAGCAGCTTAAAGAGTTCAAGGCCTTGGGCTCTACTTGCAGTAGTCTTGGTTCTAGTCTTGAGATGTCGATGCAGCAGCAGCATAAAGGCAGATGCCTCGAGCCTCTTTGGCATCAGGCCCTGTCGAGTCGAGTCCTGGTGGTTGGACTGCCGACCTAAGAAATGTTCTGAGGATCTCCGAGTAGGTCGTGTGGTTGCATTGCTGTACCTTTGTCATCATCCTTCTTATGGAAGTTTTCGACTGCATGCTTTTCCAACGAGTGATTTGGCACGGAGCGTGGATGTACGAGCTCAGCATACGCACAGCTCAGGTGCTCCCAAACGTGGACGGGTCCAATGCACTGCCTGCAAGCACCTCATTCCCCAGACTTAATGGTGTTGGGGGTTGCATTCCCGCAATCCTAAGCCTACTCCCTAAACCTTGAAGCTCGGATCCTCATTGGCATGCCTGCCTTGTGCGAGTGTGTGAGTCGAAACCTTGGTGCCCATGGGTTTCGTTTAAGGGCCGGAAGAACCCTAAACCCTAAACCCTAAACCCTAAACCGTTTGGGGTTTTGCCGAATTGATTTTTTGGGGGTCTAATGTAGGCTTCGCCTTTTGCACTCCCACGGTGTAGTGATTCCGACAGCGAGTCTTCGTTCTGATGCTTGCTTGTGCACTTGCTTTTTTCGACGGCGCTTACTGCTCAAGCTTTCACGTCAGTCCGTACATGGCCCTTTCATCTGGGGTGCCTGTAAGCTTTAGCAGCTAGACGATCTCCCTTTCATATTAATTGAAATCTTCAACCCCAAGCCCGCCCAAAATTGCACACGAAACCCTTGGCCCCAGCAACCGCAACGCCATGTGAGAAGCTAGCCACAGTTCCCCATCTGGTCGAGGGCTCCCCAAGCCTAAGCTGAAAAGCTGCCTCGCAGCTGAGTTTCGTAGTGGTCAATGCTGATGTCACTGGGTGCCTTTTAAGGCACTGAGGCTTCCGAAGCCAACCGACCATGGGTCACTTTGCCAAGCTCGAGCGGTCAAGACTTCGGACGCGGAGTTAGGGAGTTGGTTTGGGGATGAAACGAGCTTAAACTATGATTCGGTGACTTTAGGTTCACATAGGGGCCTAACTACCTATACTACTTTGGGGGTTCCTTATTATTATAACTATGTAGTATAATATACCCCCTAAGCCCTATTCTAATTATTCAGGCCCCTACATTAGGGTTGGGGTATTGCTTTGGGCTCCCATCTTCAGGATACATATACGGTGTGTTTAGACATGGGCAGGTATGTGCAATGCAGGCTGCTTTCTGAAGTTGTATGTTGTTGTGTTATGATGCATGCGTCGAATTGTGCTGGGTAGATAGGTCTTGCCCATCTTTACTCTGATTTGTGCATAGCACGTGCTAGTTACAGTGGAGTTCGCTGTTCCGTTGTAACTGAGCTTGGTCAGCTGAACTTCCGATCGTGAGCTGAACCGTTTGGTGCTGCTTTGGTATGATCAAACGAGGTTGCGGGGCGTCTTCTCGGACCAATACCCCGGTGTCCAATCCAAAGGCCGGCCTTAACATGCAAAAAGTTATGCTTGGGTCATTTTGGGTCTTGGAGTTTGGAAGTTTGTGTTTCATCTTGCTTGTTGCTGTGTGAAACAGCATGCCCATACTCACACATGTTTGTGCATGTGAGTTCTTGCCTTTTGCTGCCATAGTGCGTTCACTTGGTCGCAGGTACCAGTATAGCCGTTTGCAATGGGTCGGCCGCCCCCGGAATGATCCCGCGATGGGATTTGTCTGCAACTCAACCCTAAACCCTAAACCCACAGACCCTGCCTTTCCGACTTGTTGGGAGCTTTGCGCGTTCCGATGGCCGGGACCATGGACCAGAGTCGAGAGCAAAGCTTCGCTTCAAAGGCCTAGAATGTGTCCCATGACCTCTCCCAAAGGGTCTAAGGCTAAGTTCCCATATAGTAGGTATTTTGGGCCCCAAAGTATCTACCATATTAGTACTTAGACCCTTTGGGTCTTGGACCAGCTCGCAGGCACCTCTACATCCAGATGGAGACGACTCGGATGGATGCTTGGCCGCGGCCCGGAGGATGCGGCACAGAAAGTTAAGCTCTTCGGAACGTGCAGCCGTAGCTTTGTAGAAGGCCAGTCAATCCGTCGCACATGCAGGGAGCGCGACTTTGTTGACAAAGTCTGTAGAGTGTCCTGAAGCTTCAGCAAGGATCCGAATATGGGGAGCACCACGAGCCTATGCCTGTGGAAGATGTGCAAGGTGTGAAGGCAGCTTGTCTGCAAGGGCTGCTCTGTGAATCAACGAATGCAGTGAAGTGCTGCTTGCCGGTAGTCAACCTCGAGACTTGTGGACATAATATACCCGAGGGCGAAAGCATTCGCTTGCACCACGCAAACCCGGTGGCGTTTCAATAGATTCAATAGATTTCGCAGGGCCCGAACCAAACATCCAATCTGGTTTTGGGCTGGTTCAGCCCTTTGGACCTGCACCCTGTTTTAGGAGTAGGGGTTCGTTTTGGGTGTTTTTGTTGGTTCTTTTTGTATTGTTTTGTTTTTTTTGGTATTTGTTTTGGTGTTTAGCCTTCACTTCGCATTTCGCCCGTGGGGTTCAAGGGGCCCTGGCATCCATTCAGTGACGAGCTCTTTGGTAAGGATGAAATACTCCAGTAGACACAGGCGAGTAGAATTCAACAAGGTATCTGACTAAAACACCATTGAATGTATTGCGGGTGTATTACTACCAACGAGGTTTCATAGGCAATAAAGAGTGCATAGACCTCTGGTCCTTGTTGATTTTGGTCTTCGGCTTGGAGGCGGCAGGCCAACAGTGCCATGTAGGCGAGAGTTACGAACCTTTCAACCAAAGCCCAGCCCATCCACTGAGGACATGCCGGTCACTGCAGCGCAGGAGTGATCCTTTTGTCAGTTGGAAGCTGTTGAGGGTTCAGGGTTTAGGGTACCTCTTGGCCGCTTCAAATACCGTGGAATGCGAAGCTTAGACGTAGGAGCGTCTGCGCCGATGAGGAAACTGCCCGCAGCCGCCTGTCCAAGCCCAGAGAAACAACCAGAACAGTTAATATAGGGGCCTGAATGATTACCCATACTATTTTGGTTGCTTGTTAAATGATTATGATATATATATATATATATAATACTCTGAGTGATAGTCATAAATGTTCTGCTAGTTGCCCAGAGCCGAGATCGTAGACGCGGTCTAATACATATGACCTATAGCAGTCATAGAAACAGCGATGCGAAGAGCTCGCAGACTTGTACTATGAAAAGATCATGATTAGGTTGATCTTTACTGTTAGTGTATATGTGCGTCTTACTACGGTTATCAGCACTGTCAGTGCGATTATCATTTTCGTCTGTTATTACTGATTGTTTTTCTTATTCGTAGTATTATCATTATGATTGCTAGTCTTACGACTGTTCCTATTCGTATTGTTAAATTTGTGTTTTGCTCTACTTTATGATCTGGAAAGCGATTCCTGTGTAGCATCCTATGATACCTTTGTGGGTCGCGAAATGTTTTTCTGGCTGTGAGGATATGTCTGCAAGCACACGGCAGGGATACAAATGGCACGCACAAATTGTGGGAGACGACTTCTTCCACAAGCCACTTGCCTTCTCGGCATCTAAACCTGTGATCCCCAAAGAGTGTCTTGCAGCCTGAAGCAATCGCAAACGCAGTGTCGCTGTACCAGAGTCCCCACGCCCCTGTCCTTCTAAGCCCGCTTTGTCTTCCCCCCGCCCTTGACCACTAGAGCTTCCCCCCATGCTGGACCTCGGCTCGTTAGAGGAGCAGTTGCGCTAGAAGCTTGAGGATAGTGGAGCTGAGGGTGATTGATCTGGTATTCCCCCACCCTTTCGGCACCGCAAGCTTCGGGAGTTGAGGGCCGTGAGGCCTTCGCACATATAGTCCTCATCTAACTATTTATGTCGTATGTATCTATTTATTTATCTATCTGACTATCTGTCTATCTTTCTATCAATCATCTATCTATCAACCATCTATCTATCAATCATCTATCTATCTATCTATCTATCTATCTATCTATCTGTCGAACTGATTTGCCTATGTATCTACCTGCCTACCTATACCTATCTATCTATCGATCTATCCATGTATCTTTATTTATTCATGCATCCCCATATCCCGAAGTGCTTCTCTAATGACGCAGACCCCCATGCCACCCCCTGAGTCTCCACAAAGGAAGCCCACTCGTCTAGCACAGATCAACCCCGCAAAGGAAGCACTGCACTGCCCCGGGCTTGTTGAAAGCATGCCGGCCCTTTCCGCACATCAAGATCTCTGACCTACGGGCGTCGTTGGCCACTGGGCTGGTAGTTAGCAGGTGAGGGTCTAGAAGCTGCTACTGCGGCCTGTGGTCTTCAGGGCAGCGGGCTTCGGAGATCATTGGTGAAAACTAGAGGTGTTCATGCTTTCACCCCACGAGCACTCAGGGAAGCACCCTCCGCAGCATGGTACATGTCAGGGTTTTCCTCAAAGAGTGTCGCAGCTAAAACTCAGCAGCGGTTTCCCCATAGGGCAAGCTGTTAGTGCTGCCGGTTTGGTTGAGAAAAAGTCGACGTCAGTATTTTCTAAGGATAGTCGACATGAGCGCACCTCCCATCAAGACTCTGGCCCTTGTTGTCCACTTTGTGGACATTCGTCAAACTTCCCCAGCTGCAGGATCAAAACGAACAGGGCAGCTGGATTCTGTCAGGACTGCGGCCTGCTGATAGTAAGAAAGATCGAGGGTATGGGATAGAGGCAGCCACTAATTGTAGCTCTATGTTAGTGCGGCTCGCTGGTGTTTGGAGTTGTGTTGCAGCTACTGCTGACTGCTGCCGCCTGCAGATGCAACTACAACCACCATCACCGCCGCTGCAGCACTCCCACTACCATGGCCGGATCTGTAGAACCGCGAGGCTACGTACTCAGGGCACATGACCTCGGCTACCTTTCCCCTAGCCCTAACCCTCCAGGTGCCTACTCTCTAGGGCTCGAGTACCCTATATAGTAGGTACCTGGGGGTTTATAGGCTTTCGTTCGTTACCCCGACCACTGTCTCGCTCAACATACATGCCTCGTGCCAGGACCGCTGAACGACTGGCCTGGCCTGGTGGGGCTCGAGTTCGTGTCCATCACTTGTAAAGACCCTTGGACGGGTGGGGCACCCCTTATATTAAGCCTTATATATTTATATAGACCCCAAAGTAGGATCCCCTTATAATAAGGACCTCAATAAGGTACCCCTAATTTCGGAAGTTTCTTTTTGTAGGGCTGGAGTTTTGTCAGCAGACAGCCGGGGTCCTTTCGGGACTGAGCCCGGGTCGAC